TTAGAGCAAATTTCTTAGCACGCACAATGTCCTTTGCAATAAACTTCTTCACATCAATCTATTTTGCTCTCATGGCCTTATCTTTTTTACATTCAATTTCCTTATCACTCTTCTTTTTCCCTATGTATAATTTAAACAATTCCAGTCAGTTGTTTATTAATATGGAAAATTTTGCATCATCCCATACTTCAAAAGGCAATAACACCCTTTAAACTTCATGAGGAATAACACATAAATAATTCAAAACAAAAAGCCACATTTGACAGCATGACAAAATATCAAAACAAAACTTAATTAGAAAAAAGAGTATATACACAGATAGCACTAAATTAAAAGCATTACGCATCCTTTTAGAGAAAATTATGAGTTTAAAATCATAAATATCTCCCATGTTTTTATTTCGACCACATGCAATCACATAATACTCAACAAGTTTAGGTACTCGTCCACAAAAAATCATATCGATTAAAACACAAAATCTTATGGCAGTAAGTAAATGGTCACAAAACTTGAACTTCAAAATAATATTTGACTCTTTTCATTGTGATTTCAAGACTATAATGCAGGGAAGATGGTCAGAAGCATGTGCATGAGTATTTTTTTTTTTGTTCTTGAGGTAACTTGGGGATATATTTTTAAGCTACCAAAACTTTTATGATGTTAGATTGCTTTTGAGGAATTTAAATTGAAGAGTTTGCATGTTTTTCGGTATTTGAAAATATATAATTTATTATTCTATTAAAAATATCGGATGAAAGATTGTTTGAAAATAGTACTATTAGGCTCTTTTACCAAACCCATTTGAAGTTGTTACATAACCAAATAAATAATGAAATAAGGTTTCTTGTGGTTATTAATAAAATAAAATAAAAAAAGAAAGAAACTTTCAACATATGGAGTTGTTTCCTAGGAATAAGATAATGTTATAAGCCAACTTATTTTATTTTGGGTTTGCTTTTGTTTTGATTATAAACCATTTCTTCCTTTTAATTTAAAAATCCTACCACCAATTTCATCTTACACTATTTTGACCTAAAATTTTAAAACGTGATTAGTACTAAATTTTTACGTTTGATTCTGCTTGCATCAGGATTAATAATAACTCATTATATTTTTAGAACTAATCTATGTTACGAGTTCATTTCCATGTGATTGTTATCAAAATTATGATCCATAAAAATCGATCGAAAATTTCTAATTAATTAAACGAAAATAAATTGGTCAACTAGCCAATACGATTGAAATGAATTAAAGTGGGGGCTTAAGTGACACAAATTGGCCCATGTGATTTGAATGAATTAAAAGGGCCAAGCCCTCAAATAAGCTGGCCGAAGTGGTCTGAGTAATTTTAAAGGCCTAAGGCCGAAAATAAATAGGCCATAGTTTAATTAAAATAGTTGAAATTGCTAAGGCCCGAAGATAAAAGTCACAATTAATTAAATTGGCTCAAGTGGCTTTTAATAAATTATGTGAACTCCAAACTAAATGGGTCTAAGCACTTGAATTAAGGCCCACTAAATCTTAAATTAAGCCTAAGTATACGTTGTTTATGAGGCCTTAATCATTTCAAAGCCCAATTAAGTACGACACTAAACTCAAATTAAATGAAAGCCCAAATTAATTACTTGAGTTTGAAGTTATACCTAAAGGCCTTAACTAATTTGATGACTAATTCCCAAAATTAATGACAAATCAAACATAATCTTTTTTCTTTTAACTATAAAAATAAACTTAAATCTGTTGGTTGTATCCTAGTCAAATTTCATAGGTAACAGATAAGGCTAAAGTCCTGCTTTATTTTTTTTGTAAGTTTTTAAAATACTATTTTTTTTGATAAAATTTCAATTAAATATTACTTTTTGATGATAATTTAAATTTAAAAAATATTTAAGAGTTCCGAACAAATAGTGATAGGACACTTGGTTCGAATTTTTTTTTTATTTTTATAACATTTATTTAAGGACTTATTTGAATTTTAAATTATGTTGGATTGAAATTAATTATTTTTAAAATTATTTATTCAAAATAAATTAAGAATAATTTCCAAAATAAAATTTGAAATACAAAACTATAAAAAATCATATGTGAATTGCATTAACAAATATATATATATATATATATATTTTGTAGTTAGCATAAATTGTACCTGAGAAAACCATAAATATTATATATTAGATAAAGAAATATCATAGATGTATTTTTATGGGTTGATAAATTTTAATAAAAATATTTAAATAAATGATATATATATATATATTTAATCCGTTGCCCATAATGAGGAGTGCATTTTAGTATCCAAAGCCACGTATTCACATAAAAGAGTTGAAGAGTTCATCTATATAAATGTATATAAGTAATAAAAATATATTACATGGTACTTTTTCAAAATTTTGAGATAAAAAAAAAATAAATAAATAATATAATTATAATTATATATAATAAAATAATAAATTTATAAATATTATCTATTTACATTTTAAAATCTAAAAATAAAATTTAATTTTTAATTAATTAAAAATTATACATCGCATAAGTTCTTAAATATAAAATAATTCCAATAATATATTTATTTTTTATTCTGTTGAAAAATAACTACAAGTAAGTACAGCATATAATAGAACTGTAAAGTTTAATTCGATTGTTTTTATAATTACTTTTTACTATTTATTTAAAAATAAAAAACAGAAGTAAACCAAACCGTGTACGTTGTTACTAACCAAGGGGTTGTAAGTAAGTATAATAATAATTCGGTAGGGGGAATGGGCAAGTTACATGTGGTTCCAAATTAGAAGGGCACAGTAAGAGTAGAATAGGCACGTGGCAGGTGGAGAGTGAGCGGTCGTGTTAGACAAAACCCCAGCGCTGACACGTTGTTTGATGGTTGGTTTAATTGGTTGGGAGAGAGAGAGAAACAAACGCTGTGTCCACGTGGCAAGTCACTGTCAACAACACCCCAAAAAGAAGTGGGTAGTGATGGCCTAATCACTTCCTTGATTAAAGTGCCTTCATCTTACGCCCTCAGTTTTCCACTTATTTACGATGTTGCCACTGTATATGTGTATTTACGGTATTACCCTGGAATGCTGACCTTATCTACGTTCTCTACCAACTTCCTTGTCAAAGTCCACTTCCTCTTTTCTTTTTCCATTTGCTTCATTAACATAAACAAAAACATTTATAAAAAGCTAACAAACAAAGATGCCAAACTTATTCCCCTCAAGGGAGTTTGTTACAACCGCATTTTCTTTTCTTTTTTTAAATAAAAAAAAAGTAAATTTATATTTTAATTCCGGGTGGAGAGAAAGTAAAGCTTTTTCAATTTCCTTTTTTTTTTTTAAAAAAAAAAAATTAATTATTATTAATTATTTCGTGTAAAAATTTTAAAAGATAAATTAATTTAATATTATAAGTTTTCACATCTATTGAATTAGGCAGACATGACATGAAATAAAATTAATTATAATATAATACTCACTTTAACATTATAAATATATTAATTATTATAGTTTTTTTCTTAATTATTAAAAAATCAATTCGCTATTAAATTATTATAACTATCATAATTAAAAATTTTAATTATTATGAAATATTTTTCATTAAAATTGTAATAATTCATTGAAATAAAATTTATTTTGTTCTTCGTAATTCTATTTATATATTAATAAAATAAATTTTAAATTTATTAAATTAAATATTATAAATCTGATTATTATTAATTTATAATAATAATAAATTTTATATTTTTAATGAAATCTGAACTTATAATATCATCGATTAATAAATTTTGATTATTTGTGATTAAAAATTTTGGTACTCAATAGATATAACATTATATTTCTTGATATATATATATATATATGGTAGATTGACATAATGAATTTATAATTTAATCCTTAAAAAAGATCGAAAAGGGTTTTTGATGTTCGTATGATTATATTTCTTGGTGTGTGTG